ACACCGCGATAGACCGCGCCGTCTGCGCCGCATACGTCTCAGAGCTGCGTCGCATTTGTCTGCGCCACATTGACCACATCCGCGGCCTACGCGGCGCGGCTCCGGCCGGCCGGGGCTTCAAAGGGTGCTGGTGCACTCTCGGAGTAGCGACGGGAGCTGACCCGACGCCAGTTAGTCCAGCCACGCTCCAGACAGGCTGGCCACTGAGGGCCACATCTCCTCGGCAAACACGGTCAGCCGGCACGGCAGTCACAATAAACACCCTCACACTTCGCACCGTGATTGGCGACGGTGACAAATGAGCCCGGCCAGCGGGCAGCGGTCGCCGATTATGCGCAATAATTCTCCGTCGCGAAACGGCCATTAACTGTGCCACTTCATCACACAGAACAAACATCGGCGCGATGTATACCATTAGAGAGAAGGTGCTCGTCGGTCGGTGCGACACGGGCGGAGGACAGCTCGAACTGAGCTACACGTGTTCGGGTGGAGACACAGCGGGGCGCGGCGGTCCATCAGAACGGCACCGGGGACCGAGGACGGCCCGCCGGCGGCGCACCGCCGAATCGCAGCTGGGTTACTGAGTTGGGCGTTGGCATTACTTGACGTGGGAGTAACTGCACTTGTGGAGGTTCACTTGCAGGGAGAGAGAAGGAGAGAGAGAGAGAGAGAGAGAGAGAGAGAGAGAGAGAGAGAGAGAGAGAGAGAGAGAGAGAGAGGCGGGAGGAAGGGGGATGGGACAAGAGAAGCCTTCACTGAAGGCCGCTCCCGGTCTGATCTTCAAACAGGCGCTCACATTCCTCCACGGCGCTCTGGCAGAGACAATTTCCGTTCTGAGTTCCCTCTGAGTACCTGCCAGCGCATTTCTGTTTACCCGCTCCATGCCACGGAGCCGGTCCTTTTGTCGATCTTGAACTTGAATCTGCGCTCCCGAGTGCAGCGATTCCATTGTTTTCGGCTGACCTCGCCGCACGGTGGCGTGCAATGTCGCCGCGCCGTGTCAGACAACTTCCCTGGAATGTGTCGGCCTGCGCGGCGCGACCACACACTGGACTGGGACTGAGCTTCAAACACGGAGTGAGACAACACGGTCCGTTCAGCTCGGTCGGTACCTGTCCGGACACCGACAGAACCACACGGCCCGACAACCATTACCCGCACCGTCGCTCAGCACGCATCCGAGCAACGTCTTTGAACTGAGACCAATAAACGGATAAAATCCCCGATGTGTTGAGAGGTCACATCGCTATTTTCAAATGCGCGTGTTTGCTGTTTTGATAAAAACATAAATAGGTTGCATTGAACATCAAACGAAAATGTCTTATGACCAGCCATAAAAAACCGGTCCAGTAGACGACAAACGGGTCAGTCGCAGCGAACACAAAGGATAATGACTTGGCAAACGGCACAATCGTCTGCACCTCTAAAAAGGACAATAACGATCAGTTCAAGACTCTGTCGACACAGGAAACTCTTCTCGTGACGGCCCGGCCTCAGTCCATCCCCTCGACTCTCACGGGGGCACCGAGTACATGACTCCGCACCTTCCACAGGCCGTGAACGGAGGACGGGGCACCGCCTCAGAGCGCCTACATCAGGCCGAGCAGGCCGAACCGTTTTCACGGCCCTGCCCGATATGGAGTCAGCCTTCGGGAGTCCCGCCAGTGCCCTGTCGGCGGTCCGAGCCGCCGCAGCCGGCCCGGCCCGTCCCTGACTGACCGCGAGAGGTCCAGTCACACGGTGTGACACGGGTCACAGACGGCCCAGCGCCCTGCCACCGCTGCCCAGCGCGCCCGGCAGCGGCCCGCGCCGGCAGGATGCACCTCTGGCCGTCTGTGAGGCCGCAGAGGCGACTGGCCGACCCTGCCACCGGCCGGCAGACACACGCAGCCTTGGCCGCTTCCGGGCGGCGGCGGCAGCGGCGGCGTGGCCGTCAGAGGCACCGGCGGGGCGGCCGGCGCCACTTCCTCGACAGTCGCCGAGCGCCGTCAGCGGCCGGCGGGGCGGCCGGCTGCAGCAGCCGCCGTCCAGCTCCCTCACTGTGTCAGTAGGGTCAGTGAGCCGGCCAAGGCAGCGTGCACCAGCACCCAGCCGAGGACATGTCCGCCGACACTGAACAAGATCCAGGAAATGTCATGAAAGGCCGGCGGCGGTCGCGCCGTATGGGCACTCATCAGATATCTCGCGCACTCGCGTCAAAGAGCCGAGCCGCGCCGAGCTGCGCCCGGCGACCCTGAAACTCCAGACGGAAAAGTACCAGTATTCCGCTCGTAGCGCCGCGTAAGCTCATCAAGCTTGTACCGATTACCGATCAGGACATGACTGGAATTCCCGGTGCTATATAAACTGAGCTTACGGTGTCCGGCACGCGAGCTGGCAGGCCGCCGACGCCCCAGCCCGTCCTTACAGCTGGCGCCGTGGATGCAGCCAGAGTCGACGTCACAGACAGGGTAATGGTCGGCGGCAGACACAGACGAGCTATGACGATTACTCGGATAATCTGCCGCTCCAGTCGTCGGCCGCCGGACGGCCGCGTGAGTCGTGACGCAGTGATACTGCCGGCCGGAGGCGGAAGCACGCCAAATCCAGCTAAGGAGATGGAAAATCAGACTCGAGAGACGAGCTTAGCCATCCTGGAGATGGGAGACAACATGAGAGACAGAGCGATTAAGAGCGGTGCGGCCCAGCAGGGGAGACTGGGAGACAGGAAGCCTGGAGGGGTGAGCACTGAGCAGACCCGACCCGAACACCCCAGCAGACCCGACCCGAACACCCAAGGCCGCCTCTCTGCCTCCGCTGCGAGCCGCCGGCCACCGACGTCAGTGCTACACCGACGGCACGGCACGGCGGCGACTCAGCGGCCGTCCGCAGCTCACAATGCCGCGCTGATTGTGACTAACGGCACGTCCAGGCGCCGCTGTAAATACGCGCCTCTCCGGCAGCGGGGAGCTGAGGGCGGCTCGGCAGGCCGGGCGGCTCTCTGACACAGACCCCGGCTCAGTCGCGGCCCGTCGTCACCGTCGGGCCGACCGAACGGTGCAATTCGTCACACTACCGACCGACGGCCGGCGCCGGCCCGCTGCGGAATGCCGCCGGTCGTCCGCTGTCGCCCGGTCCAGCGTAAACACCTAGCTGACCATGGCGGGGCGGGGGCCACCCGAGGCTGAGCGGCCGGCGGGCGGGGTGACGGCCTGAGGCAGAATGATGACGGAGCATCACGTCATGCCTGATGAGTGGTGCAGATAAACAGCTGAGGTGAACATGGAAAAATAGTCCAGCGCTGTCCCTCGGGAGTCACTCAGATCAAAGGTCACGGCAACTGAAACTTACCCCAAAATACGAAATACGAAATAATACGAAGCGTTCAAAACAAATGCTCGCCAAGATTGAGGCATAGAGCTTAAAAATAAATGCCTTGCCGGATAAACAATCTTATCGGGTCACTTGATCAACGGACACCATCGTTAACTGGCCACAAGCACCCTCCCTTTGCAGCACAATACAAATCCACTTCATGTTCCTCTGCATCTAACTCTAACCACCTATACCAAGCCCTGTCTTCTACCGCTCCCGCGCTCTCTCCCGTCCCTCTCTGCTCTGTCTGCCTCCTCCGCTGCTCTGCCGGCCTCTGTCGTTCTCGCCGACCTCCGCGCGCCCATCGGCAGTATCGTGGGATCGGCACGCCTTATATGGCCAAAATGGACCGCCGCCACCGCCGCCGCCGCCCGGAGACGCGACTGCGACGGAGAGCGAGAGGTGTCGAGGCCACGGCGGCGCGCGAGCGACCAGAGACCAGCGGCGAGCGACCGGCGAGCGACCAGAGACCAGCGACGAGCGACCAACCGGCGAGCGACCGGAGACCAGCGACGAGTGACCGGCGAGCGACCAGCCGGCGAGCGACCGGCGAGCGACCAGAGACCAGCGACAGGCGCGGCGGCGAGCGGTCAGAGACCAGCGACCAGAGACCAGAGACCAGCGACCGGCGGCGAGCGGCAGCAAACCAGCCACAGAGATAAAACACAGCCCCGAACAGACCACGACAAACGAGCCGACCCACCGGGACAGACGTTCGGACCGAGAGAGAAAGTCGTGTGCGCCGCGCGGCGATCGACAGGCAGGGCGGACGGACACGCAACACTGCGGCGTACCTACAAACAAACACGCACACAGGCCGGCGGCGCCCCGCCCACCGCGCGCGGGAACATGACGCACACTGAGACAGATGAGACAGGAGAGAGCGGGACGACGGAGAGGGGAGGGGCGGCCGTCCACGGAAACCCACAGCCCGGGCGGATCGAGTCGCCGGCCCCGGCAGCAGTGGCGGAGACGTGGGGCGCCTCACGGAGACCGCGCTTACATCACAGCACCAGCTACACTATACGGCCCACAGACGCATCCAATTACGTCATGCCATAGACCGCGACAATGTTGCTGCGGCCCGTAAGTATGCCTGGTGATGTCACTTCACGATATATAAACTCGCAGTGAGTTCAGCCATCGCGATAGTTTCCAGATAATCGTCATCAGAGACAGCTTATCAAAGATCTCTGCATCCAGCAAATGACCAATTTGATCGTGCTCAGAAAGGAAATCAATGTTGGAGCAGTTCATAATCACTTCATTGAATGTTTTGTGGTTTGTGGACCGGATTTGTTACAGTAAATCATTCCTGTAAGAGGATATCTGTTCATCTGTTGGTTCATCTGTTGGTGACTGCACACTAACAATAAGCTGCCAGTCCGTTAGGCGGGCCATTCCGCTGCGCTATGGATGTATCTACGAGGAAGCGTCGTACGTTGTCGAGTCTCGGTCGACCAACCGTCAGCCAGGTGGGGCACGGCCGCCACCCGTCCAGCGGCAATGGTACGGGCACACGGTACGGGGCAGCCGTAAGGCGGGCATTCAGCGAGGCGTTCGTACGGGGTGTAGTTTTCAGAAAACTCGGTCGAAGTTGTGGTAAAAGTGGCTTTGAAGACTTTCTGGGGTAGGTAGGTACTCACCGAACGGTTTTTGTCGCCGGGCGGCGTTGGCCAGCGCGTTGGGCGTGCTGGTCTTGCCCGGCTCCAGCGGCGGGGAGATGGCTGCGCTCCGGATCGGCGGCGACTTGGTGTCTGAAGAAGGAGGTGGGTGGGGGCGGCTCAGTCACAGTCACAGTCAGCCACGTCTAACGCCTGACGCTTCACCTAGCAACGGGGAGGTCAAGGATGGATGGACGGAACAAGGACTGGGGATAAAGCCACAATCAGTCACGCCACAGTCAAAAGGTCCAGTTCCCGAATCAGGAGCAGGTGACTGGGGCCTGTGGCTGGTGCGCTGTTCAAGTGCAACGTCTCAACTTCTGAGTGATACTGCGCACAGCCCCGGCTCAGTGACCAGTGACCAGTAGGCTGCGGTCCATAAGGCGGGAGGCGATGTCTGGACCCCGAGATAAGTGTTAAGGATGGAAGAATTGAGACCGAGGAGACTCCCAACAGGTCAGCGAGAGCAGAAAGGAAAGACGGAAGGGTAGCTGACGGACAACGGACAGGACAAAAAAAAAAAAAACAGAAAAAGCGATAAACGAAGAAATATGAAAAGTAAAACAAAACGATCTTTTGAGAAAGAGAAGAAAAAAGAAATGCAACGTTACACGTAGAAGAACATAACAAAACAAAACAACAAATTATCCAAACCCATGTTAGAAACCCAAAAATGAATATATGCTGCAAAATATACAAGATCGAAAACATAAAGCAAGAGATTGATTAAGAGAGGACAAATCAAAGCCAGCGGCCGAGTGGTTGAGAAGGAGCGGGCGCACCTGGGTCTCCAGCGAGCACACTGTCCTCCGTGTCGGCGGTGTCGGCGACGTCGGCAGCGGCGGGGGCGGTGTCGGCGGCGGCGGGGGCGGGGGCGGGGGCGGCCTCGGCGCGGTGGCACGCAGTCAGCGGCAGGTAGTCGGGACGCCGCGGCCGCGGCCCGTCGCCGGGACTCGGCAGCGGCGCCGGGCCGGCGGCGGCGGCACCATCCGCCACCACTGGCGGGCCTACAGGGCGCGGGCACACAGACACACACACAGCGTCACACGGCTGTCGCGCCGGGTTCGACCAAAATAAGCAGGGAGGGCGACAAAAATGCAACAACTGCAACGTAAAACGCGCGGCGGCGTAGCTAGGCTATGTAAAAATGAGGCATCAATAGGGCGACTATAGCACACGCATGCAAACATGGCGAACTAAGCACACGAAGCTGATACACCTAAGCTACCTGCGGGACGTGGGTATCTATCTCCTCAGACATCAGCTACCTAGATGACAATGAGGATGCTTTGTGATTAGGTGCCATTGAAGGTGATGCTCACTTTAGGTACCTGTTTTCATCCTATTGTAGTGATCCCTTACTCCACCCTTTATGTAACCATCTAAAAAGGCATGTTCTTTGACCAAACTCGATGACCATTAGGAATCGATTGACTACGGATAGTTCTCAATCCAGAACCGAAACAACTGTGTCCAACAAAACAGCCGATTCTTCCAGGACCGTAAGTCAGTCCCAAACGGGCGTGTCGCTAGAATTTGCACTTCAAGCGATCTCTGCCGAATTCCTCCACATCGGTTCTGTAGCCCCTCCCCACCCAGCCCCCTCCCCCCATGCAAACAGCCGGTCCGGCGCGACCGAGAGACAACAATGACCAGTAGAGCCGCCGTCCGGCTGACTTCACTCTGGCTAATCAGCGGCGACTGAATCCGCCAATTAGCGGCGCGACAGGCGTGCGATTACATCACGTCCACATTCCGCAGCTACCGCCGGGCTGTGGGCTCGAGCGGACAACGATGAGCCGGCCGCCGCGGCAACACAGCGGAAAGGACCCGAAAGGACCCGCGTCTCACTCTGGTACAGGAAGGACACCAGCGACCCGCGCCTCACTGGAACGCAATAGACCCGGGCGGGGGCACCGGCACTGTAATCGTCCGCGAGAAAGGAACGCCGTTGAGCTTCGGCCTCCATCCTGTAGCCAGGAAAGTATTCTGGTGACATCGTCAATGCTGACATGTCACCTGGAACAGCCCCAGCTTTCAGTAAAGAGATCATGAAAACTGGAGGGCGAGCCTTATGCAGGTCGGTCCGAGAGCCAGGGCCCTCCATTCCACGCACCGGGTCCGAAGCCTCACTCCGCTGATGTGTATCACGGGAGCGGGGGTTACCTGGCGTCGGCCTCTCGCATTGTGTGCTAAACCGCGTGCATCCAGCCACATTAACAATCCAAAGTGTCCCACAACTCCAGGAAGACATGCGGTGGTCACCCAGATCAGTTGCATCTGGCCGTGGTGGTTTCCCCTGTCGGTGGGACCTCTCTGTTCTCCAGGTCAGGCCACCCCGGCACAGCACCCCGGCGATCTGCCCTCGGCCCGTCCCGCTCCCAACACGGCCAACTGCGTCGCGGCCGGCCAGCGCCGGACTGGGCGCCTCCGTGTCAGAGGCCATCAATGGGCCGTATCGGTCGGCTAAGCGATGTTCGCGCTGTCCGACATCGCGGATGTGTGTTGCAATGATGTGATGCGTCAGTCCAGCGTGTCAGAACGGGGGAACCGGCGAAGGAACTGCCGAGGCGTTGGTAAGTGCTAGTTCTGGCACTATTATGACCAAAATTATTGGCCACTATCCCCGGCACTACCTCATACACTATCCCCGAAATCCGTTCGAAACATCGCACCCTCCATTCCTGACTCGATGATCTGTTTTCCATGGTCTCCGCGGTCGCCAGGAGCTCTGGAAATCCTCAGGGGTGTCGTCCCGGCCCCGCAGTTCCCTGGTGATCCATCAACACCGTCAAAATTAGCCCGGACAGAGTCTGTGTCTCTCCCAGGGGGACTGGCGATAAGCTAACAAAAACAGCACGGCCTCCCGCTCGTGGGTAGTGTTATTCCTCACGGCGCCGTCCGTCCGTCCGGCCAGAACAGGGTGACCGGACCGTCCCCCATCGAGCGACATTGAGACGACGCGGAGGCGGAAAGCTTCGGCACCTGTCCACCAAAACCAACACAGGCGACCCCGAGACGACGGAGATGGCGAGAAGCGACGGTCACGGCGGCAGCTCCGGCTGGGCATCCGAACGGGAGGTGGAGGGGGTCGCTGCACGGTCCGATACAGGAAGCTGGAAAAACATTCGACACGAGACTGAAAGTGACTGACTGAGAAAGCCTGGCAGGACACTACGAGTCTGCCTGGAGACTACAGACCGTAGCGACTGGTTCGGGTCTAACCGTCGCTCGGCCCGCGGCGGGGCGCGGCTCGGGTAACCGCCGGTAACCGCAGCGCGGCGCGGCGTCTAACCGCGGTACTCCGGTTCAACCCACACACGACTGGCAGGGTCCGCTGAGGGTCCGCAGAGGCGCCGAGCGGCCGGCAGAGCAGGCGCCCACACCGCGTGATAGGTATACACTTCCGCGCTCATAACCGATAGCTGCTGCCGATATCGACACGGGCAGCACTGCCAGCATCACGGCCACCGCGTGGCGGGGGCGTTACACGAGCGGCGCCACACCGCACAGTGTATGCATAAACGACGAGCAAACGAGATCGAGATGTTAGATTAATGTAGATGAATAAGTCATAGCTCATAACTGACTACCATATACCGAATTTAACAGGTTCGATTACAGCTTTGGGAGCGGGCAATCTGCGCGATCTTTCTGAGAACGCCCAGGAGACGCCCTCAAAGCGCACTCAGTCGTACGCTTTGGATCGGCCGATCGACGGAGACGAACGAAGAAATTGTCGGTCTCCGCGCCCACCCCTGACGCCGGAGCGATCTGGCACCGATAGGAGCCGGCGCTCCGACCAGGCCACGAGGAATTCGGGCACGCAATGCGGAAAAGGTGTCGGCCGCGCCGCGTGGGACCCCGCTGCGGGTTGGCACGGTCCACACCGCGCGCCGGCCGCAAACAGCAGCGCCGGTCGCACGGCGTCCGCGGGCCGCTCTGCGCGCCGGCAGACCCGGCGCCATGTGTACCGAGCACCCGGCCGGCCAAGGCTGTCGGCGCCCGAATAAGGCCGGCCGCCAGCCGTGTCCCGCGGCGGCCGCCCAGCCCCGTGACCCTGCGCGGCCGCCACGTGCTGAGCTGACGGGGGCGCAGCGGCGGGGGCGATCTGCCCACTCGATATACCGCGCTGCAGTGTTCCCGGTGGCCCACCCGCATCGCGCCACGATATAAGGGAATCAGCAGCGTCGCACCCGCTCCAAGCCGTTCCGACCCCAATCCCGGAAGGTGCCGTCCAAACAGATGGGACTAGCGCTCCAGTTAGGTATTCGGCGCCGGTATGCGGGCGACTTCTGGTCGTCCTGATAAGGAGGCCCCCGGTGGACGCTCGCCGCTGCGAAATATGTATGTTGCAGGCACTTTAGAAAATCAGTCATTTTGTAAAATGCCTAGGCATTATTCAAAATGCCTGATTTTCCAGGCTTTTTGCAAAAAGCATAGGCATTTTACAAAATGACTGACTCTCCAGTCATTTTGCAAAATGCCTAGGCATTTTACAAAATACCTAGCCATTTTACAAAATGACTGAGCAGCGTGTTGTAGATACGAGTACCTAATTATATAAGTTTTGGTAGCGTGTAGGTGGACCGAGGAGTCCAGCATCATGACCAGAGGAGTCCAGCAGTGGGAAGTCCATACCTACCTCATTTTGAGAAGTGCAGGCCCGCGACATTTCCAACCCCCACGTCAGCGACGCTGCTGGATTTAAAATGATCGATCTGGAGCGTCAACAAACGACTGGCCCTATGCCGGCCTGTATCTGTAAAACTGTTAGAGGTCGCGAGGATTCGATCCCACACACTTAGGCGTTAGTGTCTTCTGAAACCAACGCTCTCGTCCTACGCCAAGCGACGTGATGATTCTCCCGATGTGGAGCTTGATATTTTTAACTGGGACCATGCAAGTAGGTACTCAAAGCTGTTGCCACAGAACAAAATTAATCGTGTTTTGTTAATTATTGCTTTAATATTCATTGTGATCAGAGAGCGTTTACGGCGTTAACTAAACAATGCTTTATGCTACAGCCGAGTCTGCAACTCAACCTGGTCGTTACTCAGCATTGTCGTCATCACAGAGCTTCAAATCGATCAGCTACAGGCTGAACACGTACCTAAAGGGTATAGGAAGACGTCCAAAAACTGTTGGCCATAGTATCTGTAGTGGGATCTACGTTCCATGCTGGTCAGGCATTTTGCAAAATGCCTCGTCATTTTGTAAAATGGCTAGCCATTTTGAAAAAAGCCTGGTTGCGTTCAGTCATTTTTCAAACAGCAGTCTTTTTGTAAAATGCCTAGGCATTTTACAAAATGACTGATTTTCTAAAGTGCCTGCAACATGTATACAGCTGCGCACCACACTTCCCCGTGGGCCCAAACACGTTCGCGGCCATGTACGGCTGTGTTAGGGTCCCGGGAACCTGTAAACGCCACCGCCAACTCCGATACAGCGACGCCGACAAGTTCATCACGGTCAACGTCGCTGCGATGGACGTCTAAGGGCGATCTGGTCACCGATACACACTCTTCCGGCATCGGGAAGTTTTCAATTCATGGCAAAACATCAGATAGGTACGTCTTTCTCCCAGAAGGCCTTCGCGTTCAATCGATTCGCATCAAGGCTGGAGGCGATAGCAGCAAAAGGAACTCACGATGACGGATTGGCTGGTAGATCGAACAAGAATTTGAAACCTAAATCGGTCCCTGGCCAGTGACATGCCTGCCAGTGCCGGGTACGCCCAGCATCGGGCCAGTGTCGTGTCAGAGTCGGATTAGTGTCGGTCACTGTCAGCGGCACCTGGAGGCCCCAGATCAGCAGATCAGTCGGATCGGCGCAGAGTCAGACAGCGCCGGGTCTGACCAATGTCATACCGGTGACAGACAATTGGTGGAAACCACGCGCCCCGCGCAGCGTCAGCCGGTGTCTGGATCAGCCCAATGTCCGACCACACCCCAAACAGTTCCAGAGCTCATGTCGAGTCCAGGCCCACATGATTCACACAATGGGC